TGCACACCCACCACGGGCCACACCACCATCCAAAGCAGCACACGCTCCAAGGGGAGCTGCCAAGGGTCTCAGATGAGGGACAGCCTCTCAGGGGGCAGCTGGGAGCAGTGGGTGGAGGGCCTGCCTTTGCAGGGCCACATCGGGGAAGAACCAGGCTCCCCATCAGCTCACAGCTCTGGCCATACCTACAGCTAGAGGGGGCCACCTGAGACTCTCTGGGCCCTAGGGTGTTAGGACGCCCTTCCCGCCTTTCAGTGCCATCTGACGTAAGGGGCCCCATCACCAGGATTGTGGTGGAAGACAGGTTGGGGGCTCTGTGTCCCATCTGCTACGGTGGACAAGCCCCCAGCTTCTTAGCTAGAGGTGGTGTTCTCTCCAGCTTGGAGACCTCGGTCATCTGAACTGAGGGGTCAGGGCCGCTGCCACCACCGCAGCCTCTGGCCGGGAGCGGCTCAAGCCCAGAAAGGCCCAGAAGCCAGTCTGCTCTTAGGGCGTACCTAGTGGTCTGAGCTCACACTCAGCTGGCTTCTAGGGGAACGGCTGTCAGCAGCAGAGAGATCCCTTCCAGCCACAGATCCGACTCCGGGCCCTGCTCCCCCAAAGCAGAAGTGTCCACACCGACTGCCCAACACCCAGAAGCTAACTTGCCAGGGGGCTGAGCAGGGTCCCCTCGGGTCATCCCCGCCGTCCCCCGCTTCTGTGGGGTCATGCAGTGTAGCCTATGTGAGGGCAGCCACCGGCTGGGCCCTCATCCCCAGGAGACAAGGTCTCCACCGGGAGGACAGCAAACCCTCCCACCACTTGTGCAGGATCAGCATCCCTTTCCTGACAGCCCAATCAAAACTGAAACCTGCTGCTCATTACCCAGTGGGCCACATCAGCTGTGCACCAGGATTTGGGAGAAAAGCCCCGTGTACCGTGAGGGGACATGCTGGGGGCCTCTGATGGCTCAGGCTTGCAGAGAGCCCCGGGCCACCCCCTTGTGCCTTCCCCCCGGCCGGCAGTGGTGCTTACCAAGGCCAGGCTGGCAGCAGAGGCGGCGGTGGGAGGCAGGGGCGTGTGCCCAGGAGGCAAGGCATTGTGACATCACCCACTGTCCCTGAGGGGACGGCAGGCCAATCGGGCAGGGCGTGTCTGCCCTTCAGTCTTTCTGGCACCCAGCCCCTGGCAGACCCTCACCAGAGCAGCCCAGAGCTGGGTTGGTTGGGCCCCTTCAGCTGCACCCACTAGGCTGACCCCCAGGGTTGAAGCCCTGCCAGACCCCATTGGCCTAAGTGCTGTCCTTGACTCCTGTCATCTCACCAGGCTCTGCTCACAGCTCTGGGGCCGCTGCACCTCAGGGAGGGGAAGCTGCTTAAGACGTCTCAGGAGAATGAGGGATGGGGCCTGTACCAGGGGCCGGCTGGGGCCGCAGCTCCATGCTCAGCCCAGAGAGGCGGCAGGCCACTCCCAGCCTGCTCAGGGGCTGCCCCCTCCCTGGGGCAGAAACAGGCTCAGTCCAGGGAAGCACCGAGGAAGTTACCGAGATGTCCACCCCGCTGCTGCCCTACTCCACAGGATCAAAGCCAACTACGGCAAATCCAGCACCTCTGTGCTGCAGACAAGGGAACGGAGGCCCGGCAGCCGGGCCCCATGTGCTGGGACACGTGGACTGGGGGCTCCCTGGCTGAGGCGAAGGGAACGCTGCGGCAGGGCCAGCTGGGTACTTACTTTCACTTCGGTCTCCTAGGACGGCATGAAGAGAAAGCAGCAAGGTTAGAGGCAGTCAGAAAGGGCAGCACAGCACGCTGGAAGGCCTTTGCAGAAGGTGCTTGGGAAGGTGCCATGGAGGGGTGTGTGGGGCGGACCGAAGGCGAACACCCAGCAGACCCACCGCCCGCATCCCAGACGGCGAAGGAGTCCACCCCCTTGGGGCGGCGCCACTCGGCCGGCACTTGAAATGAGCAGCTCCGTTATCTGGAGGGTTGCCGTTATCTGGAGCCCAGGCAGGCCCCGGGGGACACCATCTGAGCACCCTCCCACCTGTTCCCACCTGTTCCCACCTGGGGAGAGGTCAGCCAGCACCCCAGTGCTCCCAGTACACGGATCCCTACCCAGCCCTGCTGTCATGCTGCCACTAAATCAGGCTGCTGGACAAGGCACAAGACAACCACGACCGGTCCACGGGCCTCAGCAGCCACCGAGCCCCAGGGCCTGTGCTCGAACAGGACACCGCCATCACACCAGGCTTGAACAAAGACAGTCCTCCCGGTGTGCACGCAAGGACAGGGCTTTAGCCCGATCACACACGGGAAAACGGGCCAGAAACACCACGTGCCGTGCCCCAAATCCAACAAAGGTGGCAGCCCAGGAGCTGAGGCAGCCAGGCATGGACCTGGTCGCCCTGCAGCCCAGTCACCAGAGCCCTGGAGATCCGCCTCCTTCCTCCAGCAGGAACTCAGCCTCACATGCAGAAGCATGAGAGCACCAGCGTCCGGTCACTGACAGGGACATCCCCGGGGCCCTCGGGGGGCGTGGCAGACACAAGGACAGCTGCCCCACAGGAGCATGCAGAAGGCCCTGGGCTGGCTGCCTGCACATGGCGGCGAGCCACCCCCACTGGTAACGTCACCCCGAGGCAGTGAAGCCAGTGTTGGGACCAACTACACCCACAGGGACCCTGGAGGACCAGGCAGGAGGGGGGTCCTGGCTCCCCCCACCCCCATCTCAGATACAAGAGCCCACCTCTACTGCCTCCATCTCCCTCGTCTGAGAGCTCCCATGTTCCAAGAAGAGCTGAACTGAAAACCCATCTGTCCTAGGAGAAAAGCAAGTTTGAGTCTGAATGATCCCCTCAGAGAACACAAACGTGCAAGCCTCCAGCCACACAGTGGGGACCCCAGGCTGCCCGAGGACCAGGTGGACCCCCTCCCCTACCATCTCTCCAGACGGCACGGCAATGGCTAGCCGGCAACAGAGAGAAGCATGAGGAACAAACTTGAGGAACGCCAGAGCACAGACCCAGAAGGAAGGGGCCTCAGGTGTCCCCACCCTCTGCTCCTGAGGGCGGACTGAGCTGGGCCTGGCTACAGACGCCCCTTCTCTGCAACCATCCCAGCCTGGCGCAGTCTGCGTTCTGACTGCAGGGAAATGAGTCCGTGCCCCAAAGGGCAGACAGAACTCTTCTCAGAGCTGGGACAGGAACCTGGCAGCGGCCCCCCAAAGGACACTCCTGGCTGGAGGGCCTGGAAGGGAAGGGTGTGGCCCACCGCAGCTGTGCCCACCCAAGGGCCAGGTGCCTGTCAGTCCCTGTGAGCCTGGGTGAATGGGGAAGGTTTCTGGGAAGGGCTGGCCCCTCCCCAGGCTCTGCCCTCCACACCACTTCCCCATCCTCTGGACACCACTCCACCAGTCACACACTCGGAGGAGCTCTGCGCACCTTCTAGGGGAAGTGGGAACCCACATGAGTGTATGGGGAAGGGAGGGGTCTGCAGGCCAGCTGCATCTCCCCTGGGCCCCCAGAGTCAGACCGTGCTTCACAGCAATGCTTTCCATGGTACCTTCCGTGTCGGAGGGACAGTGACAAGCACTTGGCATGTCTGAGTGAACAAGGACAGCCGCACAGAGGGGTACCTGCCGCACAGAGGGGTACCTACCTCACAGAGGGGTAGCCCGGGACAGCGTGGCTCCACACGCAGGCTAGCTGTGCAAGGCAGGGATGCCATCTGCCTTTTGCAGGGGGAACTCCAAGCCCCACTTAGAAATATCAACCTGTCCTGCTGGCAGAAAGGGGGCCCCTACGCCATCAGATTCAGGGCTCCCACTGCAGCTGCCCGCATCACCCCAGGCAGGCACAACAATGTCCTTCAAATGCTTCAGCCTATCCATTCTATTCTGTCCTAGCTGCCAGAGCCTGGTCTTAGCTAAACCAGCCTGATCCCTGTGCCCCCTTCCCTCGGGGAGACCCCAGTACTGCACATGCTCCCCAACCTTTCCGCGCACACTTGAGTCCTCGTGTGTGCGTCCCCAGGCCTCACACACAGTGGACAACTGCAGTGGGGAAAGGAAGCCCCTGAGTCAGTGAGGGGAACACACCATTTCATCAGATGCCAGAGATAATTTTTTGGTTAATCTTTAAAAAAGAAAAAAAAAAAATCACCTTCAAGAAAACTGCTTTCATGAAAACATCGGTCAAGCACCTTTGCCCACCCTGGTAGCCTCACCCTGCTCCCCAGGAGCAACGCTGGGGAGATGGCCCTGCACCAGATCCTCCAGAGGGCAGCTGTCTCCCGCCCATCAAGGGCTCTCCCCAGGCCGTGAACCTCACTGCAAGCCCCACTCCAGAGAAGGGAAGACCCGCCCAGAGGGCACTCCCCAGGACTGGCAGGAGGCCCAGAACACTGACCTACAGAGGTGACAGGTTTGTGTGCCAGTCACTCCGTAAGATGATGCTGTCCACGGGGCTAGGCACAGGAAGGTTCAGGAAGCCCCGGATCCCATCTGAGACAGCCCACTTACAGGCTCAGGGTACCCAAAGAAGGGCGGGGTGTCAGAGCCGCTCCAGCGGACGCCTCCTAAAACATGTCCTTCCCAACCGCAGGTCAAGCCCACTCCCTCAGAGGAGGGATGTGCCAGGGTCAATTAAAGAGGTGCTCCCGCTCGGACAGGGACCCCCTCCCACCAAGTTTAGCCAAAAATTTCTTTTGCTCCGGGCTGGCCCTTCCTTCTGGGAACCCTGACATTCAGCCTCCATCCCACACCACCCCCTTGGCTCCAGGAGGAGCCTTTCCCTCTCCCTTCCGCTCAGTGCCGCTCTGTCTCCGGGAGGAATTACCCACACCCCTTCAGACACTGGCTGTTACGGCGCTTCCTGCCGGGGCCACCTTATCCAAATCGTGACTCCCGGGCACTCAGAGAACCGGGCGCGTTTCTTTCGAGTCACTCAGCAGACACGTCTTTGCTCTTTCTCGCATCCAAGAACCGTCAGGGTTCCACGAGGGTTGGGCCGGAGCCTGGCCCGCAGGCCCAAGACCCGCGCGCAGCAGGTACCCAACAAGCGCGTGCTAGACGAAGGAAGAACCCCCGGCCACCC